AGAGGAAATGTCATCAAGTTGCACCAGGAGATGTTTAGATGGGATATTTGGAAAACTTTCCAAGGGTAAGGGTGACCAAACATTGGAATACAGTGGCTGGGGAAGTGCTGGAGTCACATCCCGGGGGGCACTTAAAGCCATGTGGATGTGGCACTTGAGGACATGGTCTAGTGGTGAACTTGGCAGTGCTGGGTTAATGGTTGGACTTCATCTTAAAGAGCTTTTCCAACTCTATTATTCTATGATTCTTTAATTCTTGATCCTGTTCTGCTTGTCTCTAATTAAAGAATAACTCTTTGATTTCAATGGAATATTAGCTCTAAAGTAATAGACAATGCATGTAAAAGCAAATTTACCTAGAGAGGCAGTGCATAGTCTATCTTTTCACTCAGTCTGTGTTACATTCTCAAGAAGAGAAAAAAAAAAGTAATTCTGCTCATGTTTAAAGGTGAAGTGCAGACAGCAAAGGATTGGTGATGTTCAGCATTGAGTTCTGTCATGAGCAAATGTTGATGATGATGGGATCTTATTAAATACTACATTTTTATATGGTTTAGGTATTAACTTATAAAATTGAAGATTAATATTTCATAAATGGGGTTTCTATAAAAATATTGTAAAAAAATTATAAAATGTAAAAAAATCATCAGAAGTTGGTGACTGAGAGATGGATAAACATAAATACTGTGCTTTAGAGAGATGGAGAATTATGAGACTATTCTTAGATAAGTCAGGAAACAAGAAATAAGGATTATTTGTATGAGTTATCATTGTTCTTACAACCATTTTATATTAAATGGGATTTGGGTACATCTGGGGTTATCAATACAGGCACAAACTATATGTGACTCAAGAGTCAGCTGGTTTTTCTGAAGAGTAGGAAGGAAATACTGAAAGCTTTTCTTATGATGATGGTAGATTTTTCTATTTTTGTTGCCATTTCTCTTCAGTCTTGAAGGTGTTATTCCAAAACTTACTGTAAGATTAGAAGAAATTTTATTTGTTTTAAAATAAACTTTATGAGTATTTCCTTCACTATGAGAATTCCATAATTCATGACTTTGTAATTTGCAACATTGGATGAAAAGTTGTATGCAATGTTCATCCCACAGAAGTCATGTCAGGATTTAGAAATTTCAAATTCTGTAATTCACTAACAACAAGAAAGTAAAATAAGAACAAGACCAAAACAGAATACTGTCATGATATGAGTCCTATAAAACCTACAGAAACTAAAGTGTGACATGCAGCCCAATAACATAAAATATGTTCTTCTGCAGAATTTAGTCTTTTCCTTTCATTGCTCTCAATGGGTTTTGGCATAGAAAATTCTACACTGCAGGGAAGAGAACATTTCTTTGCTAGATAGATTTTTGTCTTAAGAGAGACCATTTGGATCTGCTTCATGCCTTGAAATGTAAGCCTTTAGGGACTATAACACACAATGTGCACAAGAGAATGTATATAAAGATAAAAAAGGCACAGGAGTATTCCCCAGTGATGCAAATCCTTGTTTCCTAAGAATTTATGAGTTGCCAGCACACAGCTACTGATCTTAGCCTTGACAGCACCAGAATTTTCAGGGAATTTGTGTAAGAAACCTGTCAGAGCCCTGAGACACCATTAACTGGACAGAAAGAAATGCCATTTATATCTGTGATCAAACTGGATGTTACAGGAGCAAAGGCACTGTGATTTGCAGACTGCGTAATTCCTGGGAGTGAGCTACTGCAGGATATGTTGCCACAAAACATTTGTAAGTAACATTTATCTGGATTCAAACGTGGCTGGTAAATTTACCAAAGAATAAAGGGCTGCGAGCAGCTCAAGTCACACACCATGACTTTGTGAGGAAATCCCTATGCAGCAATCACAGACTGAGACCCCATTCTTGGGAAGCATTGTGCAATGATTACTGTTTTCCTATACACCTGCTGAGGCATCTGTTCCTGGGGATGAGATATCAGGCTACACAGACCTTCTTCTCCATGCAGTACATCCAGCTTTTATATTCCTAACCCCAGGCTGAAAATGGAAATCAAAGGCTCACAATCAGAACAGAAAGAACTGAAAAAACGTGGGGAAATGGAGTTATGTATCTGTGCATCAATATTTGTCATAATCCCCTGAGCTGCTGATGTCAGTTTCCAGCAGAAATCCTAATAAGACAGCAGTTTGAATTGCCATCTACATGTTTATGCTTCTTCCAGATCATTGGAGACAAAGTATCTGCAAAGAGAAATGATTCTGTTAATCGCCTTGGTACATTGTAAAGAGAAGTAACAACTGAGCTTTCTGTAAGAATGTTGACAGATGAATATTATTTGCAGTAGATGAAATACTAACTGCTGCAAGATCTAAATACAAACTAGGCCACTGCTAGGGATCAGACTGAGGGAGGATATTGGGCTTTCTTCATTGTACACAACACTCATCTGCCATACACCACTTGGTTTAATCTCTTACAACAGATCAAGCTAATGTGACATTGAGAAGATGCTTTTTTGAGAAAAAAATATTATGGGGAAGGTGAAGTTTTAGGGAGAAAACCATCAGCATCCCATAGGCTTAACATTTGTACATCAGGTAAAGATAATATTTGATAAAATACTGAGTTGGAAAGTGAAGCAGCCTGAAGAAGAAGCTATGCAGAAAACCAGCATTAAAAACAGCACTCTGCTATGGGAAAAAATTTGCTTTGCTGCTTCAGTCTGGAGCTGAGCAACTCCCTGCCCTCCTTTTTCTTTCTATAGAAACATTAAGGTTGAGAAATACCTCTAAAACTGAGTGAAACCATTAACTCAGCATTGCCAGATGCACCAAACCATGTCCATAAGCACCACACCTACAGGTTCTGTGAGCACTCCCAGGAGTGGTGATTCCACCACGTCCTCAGGCAGTGTGTTCCAATGCCTGCCCACCCTTCTGATGCCATTTGAGAGGGCTGGAATGGGGTCAGTTGGAGACAGAGGATTCCTTCTCACTTTTATAGATGCATATGCAGCATTAAATACTTCATTTGCTTTTAGTAGGCCAATGATTTTAGCTGAATCTGATGGCAGAGATGTGAATAAACCATGCAACCACTCCAAAATCTGGGCACAGGTCAGCAAGGCTGTGAGTCCCCAACAAACCTCTCACCTTCCTGCACTCATGGATGTTTTCTTTCATGCCTCTGAACTGATTGTCTAATAATCTGTGCCTAAAATGCAATCCTGTCAAGAAATTTTAAACAGCCACACAATGCACACAAACCTCAAATCCCAATTCAGTAAATACAGCAAAGTGCTTTGGTGGCTCAGGCTCTAACTTGTATGGAGGTAGAGATCCCTGAAGGAAACCTGAAAAGGAAAAGCAAAGGTGGTGATCCTTCAATATCCACAGAGAAGTTGAAGAATGTGTTCTGTCCAAGGAGTGGAGGAACAGAGAGATTAACAGGTCTCTTAAAAAATGGAAGACCATGAGTTGGTCTTAACATACGAAACATTAAAAGATTACACTTTGTCTCATTGGCAGTAGCAGGGATGAGACTGGGCTGAGTGAAAATAACATGTCACTGACAAGAGGGGTTTGAGAAGACACTGGAGACCTGCCTTTCCAACCACCTGACAGGGTAGAAATCTGCTCCATTTAAACACATTTCAACTTAAAATATATGCATTGAATGTTGAATGCATGTTCCCAGCAAATTCTGAAGCTTAGCAAGCTGAATTCAGTCAATGATTTCTCTTTGCAAAGCAGAACACTTTGTGGACAGGTATCTGCAGTGCTCCTTCAGCTTGAGGGTGAGCTGTAAGACAACAGAAAGGACTTTCTGTATTTGTTGCTACCATGTAGTATACAGACAAAAATCCCCATCAAACCTGCTATCTACCACCAAAGCTGTGTGGGTTTTCATGGACTGAGCAGCCACAAGCCTGCTGACACCAAAGGCCTGCTCTGGGACATTACAGAAGAGACAGGAACATCTTCATAACCTGGTCTAGATCCTGACCCACTGATCTGTTCTAGGTGCTACTGTGCTTATGATGGAATCAGAATGGTTTGGGTTGGAAGGCACCTTAAAGATCATCCAGTTCCAAACCCCCTGCCACGGGCAAGGACACCTTCCACTATCCCAGGCGGCTCCAAGCCCCATCCAGCCTGGCCTTGAACACTTCCAGGAATGGGGCATCCGGCACTTTTCTGAGCAACCTGAGAAAAGACGTTTACAGTCATGCTAAAAAATGCATGGGCATTTATTTTATGCTTTGTATGTCCTTTGGGCATGATGACATGCTTTGTATGCCCTTTGGGCATGCTTTGAGAGCTGTGGTTTGGGGCAGACATCAGTCCCCTCTGATGGGCAGCTGTGGGGGGCTGTGCCGGGGCCGGAGCTGCGGGCAGCGGCACAGAGGGGACGGGGCCGTGTCTGGAGGAGGGTGAAGAAAGAGCGGCTCCAGCTCACAAGTCGGAGCCGAAATTCAAGCAAAAAATATCCCAGCCGAGGGCTTCTTATTTAGACAGTGAGCTCAGGGAGGAGGTAAAAGCAGAAACCACCTGTTGGCTAAAACAGAACGGGCGTTTCCTCCCGACACGGCGAGGACTCAGTCTCCCCGATTCTCTGCCCTTCGGGGAACACATTTCACTGCCCCTCGGGCCGGGACCCCCAGGGCTCTTCCCTCGAACCTGTCCTTCATCGCTTGCAGCTGCCAGCCCGTGTCCCCCAGCCCACACCCCCGGGCCGGTCAGTGCCGCCCCATCCCCGGTCCCCCCGCCCCCGGCCCGCAGCGGGGCCCGCAGCCCTGCCCGCCCCTCGCTCCTTAAACCCGCGCCCGCCCTGCCCGGCCCCTCTCCGGCACCGCCGCCGGCCCGGCCCGGCTCCCGCTGCTGCCGCCAGCCCCTCTGCCTCCTTCTCTTTTCTCTTTTTTCTCTTTTCTCTTTTCTCTTTTCTCTTTTCTCTCTTCTCTCTTCTCTCTTCTCTCTTCTCTCTTCTCTCTTCTCTCTTCTCTCTTTTCTCTTCTCTTCTCTCTCGCACAGAGGATGCGGCGTTTTGCCCATCCCCATCACTGACATGTCCCTGTGAGCGCGTGTGTGCTCGGGGGAGTGTGTCTGTCCGTGCGTGTCCGTTTGTCTGTGCGTGTCCGTGGGTCTGTCCGTGAGCTGCTGCCCATCCCCGCCAGGCTGACAGCTCCGCAGGGCGCGCCCGGGTCCGAGCCGGGCTCCAGGTGCCACTTGGGGTGGCGCGGTGTCTGTGCAGGTAAGGGGACATGGCTGGGTTTGCAAACCTGGCTCCGGGGCACTGCAAATGAACACAAACTGTGCTATGTCTTTTTATTTTCATTTTTTCCCCCAGCAGGGAGGAGTATCAAATTCAGAGGGCTAATTTTTATTTTTTCTTTTTAACCATGCAAACGTGCAGGAACAGGGTCTGTTTTTTACAAAGGAAATATAAGAAGAGCCGTGTTCCATTATTCTTAAGCTGGATTTATTTATTTCTCCTTTAGTTAACAAAGTTTTCAGACCAGAGTGTGCTAGGTGAGTTGGTCACCTGAATCAGGTCTGATGAGCCCTCAAATTTGGATTAGCAGATGCAGAAGACGTCACTGCAGGTGAGAAAGCAGTGGCTGAGGGATGTGTAATGCCTTCACTGAGGAAAGCCAATGACAGGAGGTTGACAGATGTCAAGATTACACTGTAATCACTGCTTTCATGTTTGGCTCTCCTAATATAAATACCTTGGGAGTTTGATGGCATTACACCTTCTGTATCAGTGTTGGTGCAGTTTCTCAGTATGTGGGAATACTTTGCTGTGTTAACAAGGTGTTTTCTCCATGTTTATTACAAATGTGCTGTGGGTCACCTTCTAGCTGTAGCCTATAAGTCTTCCTCTAAAGTGCCTAATTCATCAGCTCCTTCTCTTTAAGTTTTTACATAGCTGGAGTTCTTAAAAGAGTGTAGTGACTGCTGACACTTCACAGCATTAGCATGCACATGGTGCTGTGCCTGTTTGCATGTATTTTGATTAAAACCTTAAAATAACACAGCCCATCTGTGCAGTGTGGACACTTGTGAGATCATTCTCAGGAAGATGCACCTGCAAAATGTATCTGTGTTACTCAACATGCTCAATTAGCAACCAGAATTTGTGTAGGTGCATGCCTGAATTTCCCTTTTCTCTTTGATGAATGACTGGTTAGACATCTGTTTTGGGGGAGTTTGTATAGATACTAATTGATAAAATAATAGGGAGAAGTGTTGACAAATAGGTCAGGCAGACAATTGCAAGGTTTATGCCACTTTAAAAGCTAAATGGCTCCTTTTTTTTTTTAATAATAGGCATTTAGTAGTTTTAACTAAATTTTCAATCCTACCAACAATCATACATATTTTCCATTGAGATGCTGCTATTCTGAATATACAAATGCTATTGTTTGGACAGCTGGGGCAGTGTCCTGAGTAACTTCCAGTTAGACATATCAAATACATGAAGGTAGATTTTATATCAATGAAGTGTTTATAGAATATTATTGCAAAGAATCTCCTGAGTATGTGCTGTAGATTCACTGTGCATCCTCAGTAAGTGCATTGTGCTCTGTTGCTTCTAGCAAGAGGCAGTGTTGGATGTTTTGGCCTCCTTGGTGAAATGGAGAAAAGTCCAATTCTGAGCTTAGGAATGGGCAACCCACCAGCTGATGAATGCCATCTGGCTTTGTGGAGAATTACTCCAAGTAGCTCGCAGACAGGCAGCTCTCAGCACACTGGAGCAAAGGGAGGAAACCAGGTCTTTTGACTTTTAAACCGGCAGATGACTGTGCCTCTCTCTCTCCTGGGATCAGTTTGGGGCCAAATCTTGTTTGTTTCAGCAGAAAATAATATTCTCTCTGGTTTGAGTGATTGTCTCTTGAATGTGAGTGAGACCTGTGCCATGAATGAGCTCTTGGGCTGGAATAGCACATCTGATGGAGGACTCATTGCAGGGGAAGCATCTCTGACTCATGTTGCTCTGACTCATGGTACTACAGTGGAAGGAAACCTCCCCAATGGGGATCCAACAGAGGAAGAATGAGGTGGAAGGATTAGATATTTTTTTTTGTCTGTGGGAAGGCTTTTATGAGCTCAGAGACCCAGACAATGAGTGGGTGAGCATGTCTATAGCACCTATACATATACATAAGTATTTTCTTACTTCTTCTTGCATTTCATACAGTTTTAAGGCAAACATCTTTGCTACATGCCTGAGATAGCTTTTAATTCTGGAGATTATGATACTGAAAATAATAGAACTAAAAGAACCTTATTGTTTCCAGCATGTGATAACTTTTTTGCTAAAATATATTCCTGAGATTTGTTCCATATTTATCTTGGCTTCAAAGGACATTTCAATTTGTCATACTGTAATGCTTTCTTCTAAAACTTGTTTTGATTAATCAATGTTGGGTAATCACAATTCCTCCTGTTTAAAAACCATTCTTGAATTCTTCCCTTTTCCCACAATGGGAAGCAAAATTTTTAAGAAAAAACTTACATTATATTGACATCTTGTCTGTACCACCACACCTGAATTATACGGGTGGTACTGGGCTATTTCAGCTCTTTAGGCAATGCCAAATTCCCCAGTCATTCTTACATGAACTTTAGTATGTATTGTCTCCTATGACACTGAAACATCTCCTTCCAGGCTTCCCAACACCATTTTCCATTGCAAAAAAAAATGTAGTGGTGCATTTCTTCTTCAAAACTGCCTCTTTAGAGAAGAGTGATTCCTGCAGGTCTTTCCATGGCTGACTGAGTCTAAAACCAGGAATGTTGGCTGGTGACTGGGTGCTGGTCACATTGTATTAGGCACTACCCACTGTTACCAAGATGTTTTGAAGTTTGAGAACTCAAATTTGGGAGAATGAGGGAAGGAGGAGACAGCATCTACAGAAATCACTGAACTGTAACTGAGGAATTAGGAATTTTTTTTTTTTTTTAATTCTTGTAGCATATGTAGGAACAGCAGGAAAATGGACATATTGGAAATTGGTCCTTTTTGGACACAAACTCATTCTGGCAAATTCTTCATCGTGTGCTTCATTTTATTTGGTGTTTTCCTAGAGGCTTCTTCCAGTTGCTGCTGGGAGTTTAGTGATCCCCTTCAGTGGAAATCACATCAGGCTTCTGCAGCTGGCAGGAGCAAAGGTTGGCTGAGATGGCTGTCCCAGCTCTGTGAGCAGAGCCAAGCAGAGAAATGTCTTCTGCAGAAAGAAACTTCTGCAAAGATCTCCTGTTGTGCTTTTGGGAGACTTGCAGGTCTTAAGTCTTGAAATTATTTGCTCAATGTACACTTAGACTTGCATTCTCCCTTGCAAACAAGTATGAAAACTTGTAAGTCAATAATCATAACATTTATTTTACAGTCATTGATTTAAAAATTTGTTTAAAATATACTGCTAGGTTTTGGGTTGGTTTTTTTTTTTTTCAGTGGAGATGAGATCTTAGTCCTAATGTTCTTGACTTATAAATGTCATCAGGGTCAGTAAATTACAGGTGAAGTCAAGGATTTTTACCTTAAACTTGCAGCCCACTGATGTGTAGTCAGGAAGCACAGATTGAGGATGTTGCAATGGCAGCCTCTGGCAAGTCACTGAATCTGTGAGCAGTCAGTTCTTCCAACTGTGAATAAGAGAAAATATCAGAAGGAGGTTTTATATGAATTGTGACCTTAAGTTCCTAAAAATAGCCCAGACAAATCAGAAGGTTCATATAAGTTCAAAGCATCCTGATTTATTTTAATTGAATAATATTTTCTCTAACAATTGGCAAGATTTCTAGAATTTGAGTGGTGAAGAGAAACTAGCTGGAGCTGATTTTTTGAAAAGTATAGAATCAGAGAAAAATAAAACTGTTTAGTTTGGAAAAGACCCCTAAGACCATCAAGTCCAGCCATTAACCCATCACTGTCATGTCTACCACTAAACCCTGTCCCCAGTGCCACATGCATTTTAAATGCCTGCAGGGATGGTGACTCCACAGCTTCCCTGCGCAGCCTCGAGCTTTTCAGTGAAGAAATCCTTCATAATCTCCAATCTAAACCTCTCCTGGTGCAACTTGAGGCCATTTCCTCCTGTCCTATCCTTGTCACCTGGGAGGAGAAACCAGACTCCTCACAGGTCTTGTACTCAGAGATAATAATGGAGCCCCAAGACCCTGCAGCCCTCATTTTCTGCCTCAGGACTGTTCCTTTATGTGATCTCCTTTGCCCCTGCTGGTGCAGGCTGCCCTGGGGGTCCTGATGAGCAATTGCAAACCCTGGGCTGGAAACCTCAGCAGAGGAGCTGGGGTAGGGGGAACATGCCCTGATTTCTTCTCCCTGCTTCACTCCTGATGTGCAGCTCCACCAACTAGGCTGAAAAAATTTATCATGTGAATGTGAGCCATGAAACAGGAGGGATAGCTCTGCTTGTGGGACAAGTTTCTTATTCCTTTCTAGTCAAAATATGAGAGTGGGAGTGGGCTGATAATATTTATTTTTCAGCATCAGTAAAAGGTCAATTGAATAACTCCTGCTTCACCTCGGAAAGAAAAAGCATGCACACACAATTATTGCCCTGAGAAAACTGTCAGTAGGTGGGTACTTCACCTACCAGGGACTTGTGTTATAGATTAGAGATTTAATCTAGAGTGGAGAAAAATAAGAAACCACTCTTCTCTCTAAGAACCATTGTTGATATACAACAGGTATGTTGTTTGTGGACAATTAATTTCACAAATCAAGTGATGCAAGTAGTGAGATATCTGTTGATTCCTTGTGCTGCTAGGTGCAACCTTAAAAATAAAAGGTTTGTTTATGAGATCAAAGTGGGCTGAGTTGCTATTCTTTATTACATTGAGGTTTTCATGGCAAATACCTCCTATCTTTGTGTGCACTAACAAGGGTGTTAGATTTACAAGGCTTCTTTCTGTAAAGGAGAATGAATTCTCTCTAAAAACTTCCCACTTCTTTCCCAGTAGGGAGGAAATTCAGCAGTAAAGACTGGGCAGGTATCTGTGAGCTCTGGCACTCACTTGCAAACTGCTTTTTTCTGCTCCACAGAAAAAAGCAAAGCAGCCTTTCCTGGGAGCCCACTGAGGAATCACAAATCCCTCCCCAGGGTGTGTGGGGCTGGCCAAAAAGTGCCAAACCTGGACTTGGTCTGATCACATGCCACAAAGCTTCTCCAAGCTGTGTTAGCCTTGATTATTCATTAGGAATGAATGAAACTGAGTTATGGGTCA